AACTTTTATGCTATGTGAAATAATTTTTTTTGTTTATCATTATTCTGTTATTTCTGTGTTTGTTCAGTGACAAGGTAGATTTGTACTGACAAATTAATCTGAAAAAGGAGGAACTATGAATTGAAATCAACTCTTGAAGATAACTCATAGTTGTGCACCTATTTGAATAACAAAAATGCAGAGATTTTACATAAATACTAGAATTTGATGTGCAGGCTTTTAGTCTTGTGTCAACTGCAGCAGCACAAAAGTTGAAAGTTTCATTTCAGGATCTTGAACAAATCCAAGAATTTAAAAATTCTCCTAAAGGATATAAGAATTACATTCATATTGAATTAATAATGCATCAATTTTTTCACTTTTTGCTTTTTAAAGTGAAAAGTCAGTTATACTACAATGTTAATCACTACATTAATGAAATAGAATTAACGAATGAAACAAATTAAAACTTTACTTTTTCTTTTAACATTCAAGCACAAAAAACTTTGACATTCAAAAAAATCAGTCTGATTTTGGTCTGAAATGGGAATCCAGTTGAATCCAATTAGAAAAAATTGATTGATTAAGAAAAGCAGGTTTCTCCCCACAATTTTGTATATTTTGATAGAACAGAGGCTAAGGAATTTTTGGCTAGTATTACTGACAGAGTACAAAGGCCTGAATTTGCATCTCAATGAAAGCCTTGACTTTGTAGGTCAGGCAGTTGGACCAAATATTTCAAACCTCTTGTAAATCAATTATATTGAATCATTAAAAGAGAGGTTTAGCTGGTTTAAAAAAAAAAAAATCACTGTTCATAATATAGCCACAGAAAACAGTGATTGACGTAAATGAGGTTAAAGTCCTTAATGTATATGTATGTATTGTTGTAACAAGGTCATACTACCAAGGAGAAAAACACACCACACCCATTTCCTCCCCAAATGTTGCCAAGCTACCTAAATTAACAAGTTCTTGTTTTTTTTTCCTTTAGTAATAGGACTGAATTGAAACATATGGAAGTAAAGTTCAGCTTAGATGGAATAGATCTTCCTGCACTTGTTTGCTTACTTATGTGTACACCATAAACATATTTTATATCTGTCTGAATCAAAGTTCTAGTTCTTCTCATTCTGAGATAAAAAGAGGTGTTTAGAACTCACTCATGTTTACTAAAAAAACCCAACTAAACCATAAATCATCAGACTCGAATCCCTACACCACACCCTCTGCAATGGCCAACCTCATGACTGGGCAGAAATTACAGTGCTGAAGCTCATGTTGCAAAGTCCATTTGTCTCACTGAGGGACATACAAATCACCATTCTCCTTCTGCAGATACAAATAGTTTTAAAAAGAATTATTATTATGCGGTTCGTTTGGTTGGGTTATTTTTTGTATACTTCATGAAAACAGATTGACAGCTCTGAAGATGTCAGGCAGGCACAAGTTGGCCCATAAATATGATTTTCACCAAAAGAGTATGAAGTGTTCCCTTCCCTGTCTGAAAAACCTACTTAATGCAAACGACTGTGTTCCTTCATGGCATGTGAATTTGACCCTTGGTAAAAAACAACCAACCAACCAAAGGTTTATTTCAAATAGGTTAATCAACAGCCAAGTATTTTCAGTCATTATCAACATTAGAATAAAAATTGACCTGAAAACTTGGAAATCTTTCCTTCTCACTCAGTTAGACCCAGCAAATGATTTTTTATGTTTATCACAATTTGGGCACCTCTCAATGAAGCTGCTGCTTTACCATCAACACTGCTACCACCTTTCTATAAGTAACAAAGCCCAATGATTATCACTTTTTGTATGAGTCATATTTAAAGAGAGTCCTGAGGTGCTTCTCATGGAGTCTCTTTGAATCATGAATCAGAAAGGAAAGAAAGCAGTCTCTGAAATATCACCGTACTCAGATTCCAGAGGCTAGAATGTATCGTCGCCTATTTATAGTTTCAGGCTGTTGGGCAGTTTCACATAATGGAAGTAAATAGTCACAGAGAAGTTTCCTTTCTTCAGCGGTATTTGTACAATTAAGAGAACCTGGAAGGCTCCATCCACACACACACACAAATCAGAACAGAAAGGTCAAACCTCTTTATTTCAAAATCAACTGAAAATACATAGTCTGAGCAAAAATGTGGAACAAGAGCCAGCAGGCTCACCATGGCACAAATCCAGGTTGGGCAGACACCAGCAAACCTTGACAGACCTGAGGACAGTTTTCACATCAGATATTGCTGCATAGCACTCCCTCAGAGCCTCACATGCCACAGATTTTAACCTATTACTTTATATCTCATTAACAGCTTCCAGGTCTTGCCCATGTTTTATTCATTTTCCAGCCAGTGCTACAATAAGGCTTTTACTCACCTCACCAGGACCACAAGAAGTTTCCTTCCTTATGGACAGAGGAGAGAAAGCAGAATGCTTTCCTGATGGAGCTGCAGACAAGCAGCAATTAGCTGACAAGAGGCTGACACAGTTCTTCACCGCTCTTGCATAAAACATTGATCAGTGCTTCTCTGGCCCACCTCAGTTTTCTAAATTTATTTATTTTCAGGCTTTCTTTTTTTTTCTTTTTTTTTTTTTTTTAGGGTATGTAAGTACTCAGAAATAAATAAAGCTCTGACAAGTCCTTTACCTTCCTTTGACTGTCCTTCAGCTCTCCTTTTCTTGCAAGTCTTTCTCACTTCACGTGAAGGGCTCAGTTGGGTCCAACTTGTCTCAAACTTTCTCCCCACAAAGCAGGGAAATACTACCTAAGTCCTTCAGCCTTAAATGGAAGGGGTCTCTAGATAAATCTAACTTACCCCCTTTCCTAGCTCATCACTAGGGGCCTCTGGTGGTCTAGTGGTTAGGGTGCAGGACTCTCACCGCTGCGACCCGGGTTCGATTCCCAGCCCCCCGGGCAGATGGAGCTCGTCAGCCCTGTAAGGCAATCCATCTAAGAGAAGGTCACTCTAAACAAACCTACGTTCTGAGACTCTCACTGCCACTGTCCAAGCTTGCTCGGCCCCGGCAGATGAACCTCAGGATTAAAGGGTGGGCTCAGTTCAGTGCAAGCTGTGCCTCACCTAAAAAAAAATCCACTGCGCAGGCTCGAAGGGTTAATGACCTTTCCCAAAATCTTCGCTCGCGAAGACTGGCCATTATTATTAGCTCATCACTGCTCATTAGTCCTGAGTGCCTTCATCTGGCCTCCCAGGTCCCGCACGACCATTTTTGTGGACTGCCTTGGAGCGATCCACCCCATCATGTTTTACTTTGAGCATCTGTTTTGTCATTCTTTAGCAGAGTTCTCTGCTCTTCTCCTGCTTCCTTGTCTAGAGATAATTCTTCCTGAACTTTTTTTTCCAATTTTGTAGCCATTCTCCCTAATCACTTCTCCAGAGAGATGAGGGACAAAACTTCCCTGAAGTGTCTGCTTCCCAGAAAGTCCACCTCAGAATTACAAGCCCCAGAAGCTACTTGGGGTTGAAGGCAGTAAACTTACAGAATATCACTAGCACCCTAAATCACTAGTAGTCACTGAACAGCTATAATCTCATCAAACAAATATTAACCTATAGATTTAAAAAAATAAAAACCATCTTTTTCTCCCTTTCCTACTATAATTGACTATTTTACTTCTTACACTGATGTTTGGAAACATGTTATAGTCTGTAACTTTATTTGCCTTAAATAATTTTGGATATTAGCTAATCATTGTTATGATGTACATGCAACACTATAAAGTTGATAAGAGTGAGCAGTAGGATGTCTATTTCTGTTTCAGAAACTAAGGGCTTCCTAGCTCTTCAAAGTCCTGAGCTTATCAGCATGTTACCTGATCTAGCATGCACATACACATATGCACACCAATAAGCCTAAATCATGAGGTCTCACCCCCTAGCTTTAAATAATCTTGATGATGTGTATATGAACATCTTACAAGTATTGGAAACAGTAATTCTCTGTTTGTCTCTTCAAGAAATACTGTTTCCACTTCTTTTTAGCAGGAACTCATGTGAAGTGAGAGACTGACCAATTTCAGAAGATAAAGTTTTTTCCTGACATCTCATGTTCTTTCCTTAGCACATTGCCCAGTTGACATGCTCTGGTAGCGAGATGAAAAATTTGCAAATCAAGTGTCACATTTAATTCCTACATATTTGTAATTGCCATTTACATTGCAAATATCATTAATGAAGCCTTAAAGAATGCTTCATTGTAAAGAGTAGAAGGTTTACAGATACTGCTCTTCAGTCCATGTAAGAACAATGCATCTATTTCAGCTGCATGAAGACATATGCATATATTCTTTGTTTCACTTCTTATACCAATGAATAATTTCATGATGTTAGTTCTGTGCATACTGAAGAGAAAAAAAAAGGATCCCGCTCTGAAGTTCTCTTTCATGAAATCAACCATTTTCTTTTCATACTACATTTTATGTAGTCTAAGGTTTTCTCATCACCATCAATACTTTCAACCTGAGCATGGTTTAAAATTATAGGAGGCCATACTAAAAAAACCCAAACCAATCAAGATTAATAGAAAGTCAGTCACTGCTATGATAATTGTCAATATGACAATTGTCAATATGATGGCTGCTCTCTTGTATTTTGTTACAGTGAGAATCTGACACATACTGACCAACAGATCTGATTTACCGTTTATATGTTTAATCAGAATTGTATGTAATTGTGATTACATGAACTCATCTATCCCTCTTTACATGAAAAAGTGTGTAAGTGCTATCACAGACTGGCACATTTAAAATTGCACACATTATTAAATAATAGCTTATGTATAATTTTATTTGTTTTCAGAGTTACAATGTTCATGAGATAGTTATAGAGAGCACATTATATATTATTGTTAAACACATTTTTGCCACAAAAAGTTGAGAGCATTGGTAGAAAAACCTATGTCAAGTTATGTGAAAATATTTACCACGTGTAACTATAATTTCATAAAACCAATATATACTTTATGTAACATTATGTCAGCAAATTCCTTCTTTTTGCAAATAACTTTTGCTCTATACTTATGTATGTTCATAGTTAACTGCATCAAATGCTTCTCTGTGTGTGTGACTGTGCGTGTGTGTGTGTGTTTGCAATGCACAGGAAAAATACGAGTTTACTCCTATAGTAACTGCAATTGTCAACACCACTGGACCTAAGAAGGGTGAATTACAAGATCTTAATTTTAGCAAATAATCACCTTCATATTTTTCTACCTAATGCGGAACATAACATTAATTGGTATTTACCTCCTAATGTTTACAGAACACAGACTTTATATTTCAAAGACATAACCCTTATCAACTATATACTGACTTGTATTTCAGTGCCTATTATTTAAAGTACGACTCTGTTGAATTCTTATACTGAGGAACAAATGATAGCAACTTTATTTAAATACATGCACAGTACCGTGCACTACAGCATGATGAAGTATAACTTTTAAAATGGATGAATGAATCAATAGAAAAATAGATTTAATAAACCATTAACATTTTTAAGTCTGGATAAAAATGGAAAATCATGCATTTCAAGCAAAGTTTTGTTTTTTCCTTGTTTTTTGAGGAAATCTGAAAACTTAAGACATGCAGAGCTGAGAAGCAGCTCACTCTGAACAGAAAACAATGTTAAGACTGCATAAAAAGTTTTGATTGAGACTGTTTATATGCAGGACTGAAAAAAGTTGTCCTTCTTGGACTTCCCTTCAACGTTAGACCGTGCTGTGCAAACCTCGGACAAATCCCTGTACTATGATTTCTAAGCTGTTAGGAAGTCTCTAAAAGGGCTAAGAAAGTTAAAACCTGAGCAACTGCCTCCCCAAAATTTATGACAAGAAATGTTTTGATTCCAGACAGCAGACTACGAAAGGGGAATAGATAACAGTTTATTCTTTCCTTATGAGATTAATTTAGGTGATGAATAAATTATGGATGGCATAAATTTATAAATAATTATGACAAAAATTGGATATAAATTTAATTTTCTAAATTAATTTAGAGTTCATGTCAATGTCTCAATATTTAGAGTATGTGACTATGTCTATTAACTTATGAAACAAATGAAAAGTGAGTATTTACTTGCAATTAATTTAATGTTTTTTCCTACCCCAACATTTGTCTGGACATTGTCAATGTAATCAAAAGAACTGTAAATTTTCAGAAGTGAGTCTACTCCAGTGAGTTTGATTAATTATGCATTAACCCATTTCTCTGAAGCATCCTTCACTAAATCTTTGGTGGGAAATGCACTTTAATTAGGCATGAGCTTTGGTTATTTGTGTGCATATGCACTATGCTATTGGTCAATATGCAGAATGATTTAAAGTGTGCCATGTTACAGAGATGTATTGTTCATGAAAATAATTTTAGTGTTTAAGCAAACAACACTGATGGCTAGTTTTGCAGGAATTATTATCTTCACTCAATATGATTTCCTTAGTGTTATAATTTTTGCTAAAACTTGCATTGGCTTCCAATCTTAACAAAAAAATTACACAAGAATAATCATGATAATTTGAATACTGTACATATTGTTAATTCTTTTCTGCAGGTACAGTTACTCATATACATAGGAGTTATCAGAATAAGATCCGAGATTTCAATACTCAGTTGAATAAAAATATTCTCAGGGTAGAAAGAAACGGTAAACTAAAAATACAGGTTAATGAGACCTGTAGTAAACTTTACTCTGAAACAGGTCAAATTGGCTATTCATGTGAAGATCTTTGATTCAAGAGATACTATTGAACCTATGGCATGTGATCATTGTAGTAGAAAAAGTTGAAATGGAAAAGAGAGAAAATCAAATTACCCATGACATTCTTTTCCCATATTCCATGGTAGAATTAGCCCATAGATTAGTAAATGGTAATGCATGCAACAAAAAATATGCATCACTTTATGTAAACATCTGCTTTCATCATGCAAAATGCCTACAAAACTGTGACAACATCTTTTCTAGTAGCATAGTTTTACATTAGCTCAGTTACAGAAACAGTTAAACCAAAATCCAAGATTTTGCAAGTAGAAGATGTTCTAAAATTCTTGAAAGATTTCCAGCATAAATATTCCAAAGCCCAACAAAGCTAATTGTTTTTCTGAAAACTAAACTACATAGGCTTATTCCTTGCTGTGGTTCCTTGTTCTTTTGATGATAGAAGAGAAAAGACCGGTTTTTGGAGGAGGTCCCATCAACATGGGGGCTTGGTTCTTGTGAGTAATTTTTATCTGGGGGGAGGAAGAAGAAAAACAGAATTATCCCTCGGGCTAGTTAAATGTCAAGTATCGGAGATGCCTGAATTATCTTTATATGTGACTTCCAAACCTTGTCCATTTAACCTAAGATAAAAGGAAAACACCTCGGTTTCTTTATGAACGATGTTACTTATGCAGTAAACCAATCTATGTGTAATCATTGTTTCCACAAAATTTAAATTAGACACACAATAAATACTAAAAATTGTATGCAATAAAATACACGCCAATATGTAATCTTACTTTTTGAGTGTGGGATTTATTGCTTGCTGTTAAAGAAGAATTTAAAAGTTGGAAAGAACATACACGTTGGAAGACCAAGCTGTTGCCTATTATTAAGATATGACATGTCTTCATATGCTTTATTTATACATCTAATCAAGCTGTACTCTTTTACCACAGGACACTGCTTAATTTCAAAATAACCATTATGAAAATATAAAGTTAATACACAAAAAAGGTCAAAAAAGATGAACTAGTATTCTAAATTGTTAATTAATTGTTAATAGAATGGACTCAAATATTGAAAAGACTATTTAAAACACTTTGTAATACTGCTCTAAAGCCACCCGTTTTGATTTCTTTGATATAAAACTACGAATCACCTTAAATGAGACAACCTTAAAGTAGATTATGTCTGCAATTTTCTCTAATTCAAGTCTAAATTAGAGAAGACATTTTATGAATGTATGCTATGCTCAAAGCTAATTGAAAGCAATTATCAAAGTGGCATTTTGTCTGTGACTTTAAGATACATTGTAAGATAATAAATGATTCTCATTATGTAATAAAAAGGTCACATCTTGCCTTTGGGCTAGTGACGTTAAGAGTTTTTCAAAAGCAATCCGAGACATTTTCTTTAGTGAACTACGACTAATACAAGAACCATCACTTATTAAATATCAGTTGTCACCTGCATAGTACCCACATCAGAGATGGGTATTTCTTTCAAAAAGAAACACCACCTCATTAAAAACTGGAAAAATATATCTCTTAAAGTACATACCTGACATTTTCAAGTTAAAATGAATATCCTTCACTTGTCATTCACTAATAGTAGTGAAACAAAAAATGTATGTCACGTGGAGAGGCTCATTAAAATATAGATCAGGACATTTCTTGGGGTGGAGATTTACTTTACAATATAGGGAGACAGAAACATAAAAATCTCAATAGAGTGAGTGGCTTGGTTTAACTCTATTAGAGCCTTTACTTTACTCTCCAAATGCTCATTTCCATGCCACCTTAGTTCATTAGTCTCAAATTTTAAGTGTGACCTCTTTTTGTCAACACTGTTCATTAGTATCAAATTTAGCATATGGGGTTTTTTTGGCAATCTAGATTAATTTCATATGGATAATAACTCTTGCTTTCAAAGACTGGCACCAACATATTTTCTCACAAGAAATTCTGCTTCAGGCACCACTTTGGAAGCCAAATCTGTAGCTGGGGTAAGTGGGCACTATTCCATTGATGTCACATAGTACCAGCTGATGATCTGGTCCTGGAAAATTGCCTCAAGAATTTTTGTAACTTTCACATGCTTCATAAGACATATTTTTGGGCTCAGGAACAGTCATAACATCAACCTGATCCTGAGGATCAATACACAAAGTAACCTGCAGCTGGTGTGAGTGAATTTTTCAAGTCATAAGGGTTCAGCTTATTGCAAGATTTGGCCATGATGTGGCAGTAGGAATGTCTTCAGAGTTTCAGACATAAATCATAGTAACTCCATTTTAAAATTAATAAAAGAGGACAGCTCAAAAGACAGCTTTAGTATGAAGACGTGAGGTAATCCTGAGACCCCATACAGATTGCATGTTGGGTTGGGGCTGTTCAGTGCTGCTCAGGATGAATCCAATTACATATTCAGTAAATGTTTATCATTTGTAATGTTCTTTTTTGGCTTGAGCCATCTGCTTCAGAGACCATGACCTCTTCAGTATGTTGCTTCCTATCAGCTGAGATCAGCTAAGATGCCTGAACATGATTAACCACTCACGTGCATGGGGATGAGTCCTATATGCATTTCTCCAAGATATATTTTCAACTGTTAAATTGGCACAAAATGTATTTTACATTCTGAAAACAAAAAAATAACGTGTAAACTGAAAGTATATTTTTTTACTTCTCTGTTAATATTCCATTGGTTAACAATGATAACCATCAATTCCTTACTTTCCTACTGTAAAACGAAGAAAATAAAAAATTAAAAAAGTCTTATCTTTGGCTGATAAAAAGAGATCAGTATGTTTGCAAAACATTGCACTATTTTGCCTGAAGCAGGCTAATTTTGTCTTTCTCAAGACTCTCAGGCACTGCATGTCTGCCCTGGACTCTCACTTCTGCTTCTGTTCTCATACTGGCAGCACTGCCAGAGTTGGAGCTGTGAGTTTGGGTGACAAGCAATAGTACACACTTTGAGATGGGAAGAAACACTGAGGATCTCAGACAGAGAAATAACATTGTAGGTCAAGGTAGGACTGAACATTGAAAGTGCTCTATGGAAGGACAAAAAAGAGAGTGAGAGAAAGCTTTACTTACAAGAAACGGAGACTTTGTTAAGTTAAAAATTCCTACTTACAGCTGTATATAGATTCTATGTGTGTGCACATGGAGAGTCTAAAGACTAACTTTTACCATTCAGTTTCTCTCTCATTCAGCAAGCAACTTCATGTCTTTTTTAGTAGAAACACAATTATAAAAGCTTTAAATAAGACTTTTTTTTTTATTTCTCATTTTTCCTAGATTTACTCTATGAATCCCACACACAAATGAGAAATTGCTCAGACAAAAATCCAGAAAGCTAAAATCCTAACCTAATATATTTTTAGGAACTGATGATACCCTGAGAAACATACTCATACAAATTACTATGGAATTCTGGAAAAGAGTTTTTGAGATCACTTACTCAATTTTATTGACAATATATAATACCTTGAACATAATATGAAGGACATTTTGAACATAAATTAAGAGGAGTGCCTGAAGTGCTGTTGGAGAAAAAAAAAGTTATTTGTTACAAATTTATATTTAAAAACAGGCAAAATCAAGAAATAACAAAATTCCATTTAGAGAGTAAGTAAGTAGCAACATGAATTGCTAAGATATCATAGATTTTTCTTGTAAACCCAATGCACAATTTTCTAGGCTAAATTCAAACTGTTGAAGCCAATGAAAAACCTCTCACTCACTAATTGAAGCCAAGATTTTAGCCCATGGTATATCTAGTAAATAGGTTTAGCAGAAGAACATTGTATTTGCAATTTTGAATCACCTTTCCATTATTACAAAGTGTGTCCAATGATGTATTCATGGGAAGGAACACCATATCTAATTAAAAGAGCATAATTCTCAAGAGATGATAATTTCTCCTTTTTGTCAATGGAAAATTTTCTAATAAAGGAGAAGCCTGCATTTTTGATACTAAAAATATTTATAAATGCATAAACCAGACATCTATTTGTTTCAGGAGCAGGTCAGAGTTTCAAAATACGCCTTGAAGCACATTAATACAATGCATCCACTAAATGAAATGCAGTGAGCATCAATAATTTTAGTGTGATAACAATGTCTTTTAGGTCAGTCAATTTTGCTTTCATGTTCCTTTTTCAACAATATGTGCTGGTTACCTTCATGCTCCTGACTTCAAAGAATTTCTAAATATTTACTATTTCAGCGAACATGGTGCTATAAATACAGGTAGTAAAGTACTGTGCTAACTGACAATAGAAAACTGGAAACAGATATAATCAGCTCTGCTTATAATATTTCAATTAATGTTAAAGAACATATTACTGTATTTTAAGGACAGAGGGAAAAAAAACTGTCAGAAGAAAAACTTTTGGATCTTTTAGCTTATGGTCACTTTTTTCCATGTTATCAGCAGGACTTAGATGTTGGTTGTTTTGGGGTTATGAGGGTTATGCCTAAATGCTGCTCTCCATACAGGAAATGGAGGGATGCAACACCTCTATATCACAGAAGTACCAAATAGTTTTATCTTCCTGTAGGCGATCAAGAATTGTATGCAGTATCATGATGCGAATAAGACCTACAGAATGCAGGCAGTGCTGAACAAAATTAACCTGTGACTTGCATTATGTGACATTTTGGACAAAATCTCTCAGATCTAGACTTGTTTTAAATATAGCGTTACACAACACATCATAAATAAATTTCTAAACAATATTATTGTGCAAAGTGCAATCAAATCTAATCAGTTTGGCATTAATTAAGCTCTAATAATATACTCTAGTCTCTCTCCTAAGTAGTGTGATCCGTTTCCCCTTCATACAGGTAGATTGGAAAACATTATGGTGTCATCATAATTTTTAAACATACTGAGAAAATGACAGAGCTGCAAAATTAAAATAAATGATTAATGGCATTTTTTTCATGTTTTGTACTAATAGGTATCATTGAGGTTTTAAATTAATAGAGCTGTCAGCTCAGGGTTGTTACAGATCCAGTGCAGAACTAAAATGGAAATTATGTATTCCACAGATACCTAAAGATGACACTTTGGAATATTTTAAAATTTAATTAGTAGGTGCAATTGTTTTTCCCCCCTCCTCCCTAAAACCACTGCAAATTAATTGGCAATTAGTCACAACTAATTCTTTTCTTAACAATCTGAACTGGAAAGAAAGGTGCATTACATGTTAGAGGATTTGTCTGGGGTGCAGAAAGCACACATGCAGTAAATTGCTTTGTCAATTACAAAAACAACTGTTGTGAAATTAAGAAAAAAATATGCATAGGTAAACAAAACTAATTAAAGTGCAGTGTACCTGTGACCACAAAAAATAACGCCCAGATGCAAAATAAAATGTTAGAAACTCAATAAATCAATTTGGCCTTGAAACAGAAACGTATGCACACTGCTGCTCAATGGGGAAAAAAATACAGCATTTTACTATAACACCAAAAACCTTTTCTACGGACTGACTTCCATTTATGGGTTAACCATGTAGTAATTGGCTAATATTCTACTGAAATCAGCTACCATATCTAGGACCCAGCTCCTCTTTGCTCTAAAGTGGCAGGCACAGAAGTTTAAACTCTCATTATAAACAACTGATAAGAAAATATTAATACAGCCAGAGGCATGCAAAGAAGATACAAACAGAGTCTAGAATACAGCGGCAGCTTCTTCATGCGATCTCTAGGGTGTTGGAGTCAATGGGTCTACATAAAAGCAAATCTGTTACTTTCTTTTAGTTTTCTCACTGAGCTGTGGTATATAGTGATTATTAATAAAAGCTTGGTTTAGTTAATTTTGGTTTTAGTTCTTGTTTCTCTCTGGATTTAACTACAGTACAGTCTGTGCTCTGGCTCATCACGTCTCTAGGGACTAAAAGAAAAAGTAGAGAGAAACCATTCATTCAAAACTTATTTTTAAGGGGCATTTAAATGATAATATTTTGAAATAATAATTCTGGGTTTCATTATTAAATGACTTACTCGAAATTCTAAACAATTCTAAAAATATGTGTTTCAGATGTGTCTATGAAACTATATTACTGGCAATCCATTAGGTGAGTTCTGACTATGGATTTTCATTTTCATTTCTTTATTTAGGCAATATTCTTGCATCTTCTATAGATATTTCCATTTTCTACTTTTAGTCTAGTGTTTCTAGCAGCTTGACACTCTTTCAGATATGATGCCAAACAAGTCAGGAATAGATGAAAGAACTGAAATCACAGTTATTTCAAATTAAGATGGAACATTCTTATGGATTTTTTCAAAACAATGCTAATAATTTATGTAGCTAAATTGAAAGATTACTTTTCTTAAAAAAAATCCTGATGGCTAAAGCCTGAAGTTTATTGAATTAACTTGAGAGTCTTTGAAGTTTCATTACTATTAATGATCTTTTTGGAGACCAGGTAAAACCATAGATATCTTTCATGTGTCTATATTTGTCTGGGAGAGCTCTGATAGAATTTCTTCCTCAGCTAATCAGAGGAGATGTTTAACATAACACTAGCATTATCATCTTTCCTTCTCCCAAAGACTCCTCTATAAAAAACCAATACAATTTGATGCTCAAATGCTGTGTCTTATTATACTAGAGCAGAGTGACTTTGTTAGACACTGTGGTCTGCATGTGTTCAACATACTAAATAATATTGGATGACAATTTTTTTAGACGAAGACATTTGCATTTTTAAGTGTGTACAGAACCTACAGGAATGCATTCTCGTTCTCATGTAGGGATGCTTTCATGTAGGTGCATGAGCAATAGAAGATCATAAAAGATGTCAAAAGAAGCACACAACGATTTCTTGAGTACTGAAATTGATCACAGGAAGGAAAAGCATCACTGATCTCAGCTTCTGGGGAATCACTGCGTTATCTATCACATCCTACAGTATTTTCTTAGAGCTCACACTGTCATTTTGGGATAGCACAGTCTCTGTATGCATGAGAAGGGACAGCTGTCAGCAAATCGTGCTATTTGTATGAATCTCTTTTTACAGTCAGAAAGGAGAAGCAGCAAAGATAAACTGTTGATTCCCTCAACGGGAAGTGCATTTCCAAGCCTGCATGTGCAGGTTGCATCCCATGCATAATACGGATTTGATGCAGAACTTGTTTACCTTAATAGGCATCATGGGAAAGTAGGACAATTTTGATCAGATTGAATTTGATTTCTTGAAAAGTCATTTGCAAAATACTCTCATTTATATTAAAACCTGAAGCAAATCAGAAAAGGACTTCTGAGCTTAAGCACTTGCAGCCTGGGTGAGGGTTGATTCAACATCTGCCGATTGTATGAATTTCTTTCTCATTTAGTTTCTGTAACATAGGTCAGCCCCTAAAACTACTGAACTTAGATGACTCTGAAGTCCCTAAGATGATCAAAGAAAAAAATGAGTGAGGCTCAGCTGCTGTGTCTCACTGATGCACACGATCTGTGCAACTGAAAAACGTGCAGAGCTCTCTCCTTTGGAAATTTTGGGAGAACATTGCAGTTTTTTCTCTAGGAAGACAAACCCCATTATTCTTATATTGGCGTCCTTATATTTTTTTCTGAAATTTGAGCTCTAGCAGGTTCAAATAAGTGACTATGTAGCTGGCTACATGTAAGGAGCTGTTTTGATGTTATGCAGGTTTTTTCGTACTACGGTTTGGATACATGTCACCCTGGTATTTATGTGATCAAGGACGCTTTGGCTTCCAAAGAAAGGCCCCTGTGAAGCACAAGCTTAGAAATCAAATCTTAAGCTTTGATTGAGAGAAAGCTAATGTCAACCTTTCTCATTGTGTCCAGAGTAATTCCTAGCTACCTTGCAGAGAACTTCAAGAAAAAGCTGTACTGTAGTTAGAATCAGTGATAAGAGAAGCGGTTGGACCATACATGTTTTTTCCTTTTTAAGATGTAGAAAACAGAGGGGGGTACATGGACAATAATGCAAAGAGGAATTGCAATAAATAATTAAGCTCCTCAGCAGAGAAAAAAAAAATCCTGAAAAATTAATGACATAAAATAAAATAATATTTCTATATCTGAATTCATAGAGGTGTATTGGTATAGCTAAATAGTTCATGTATTTTCTTCTCAGAGGAAATAAGGACATTCAACAGCATGGTTTTCTTACACAGTGCAAAGTATATGCTCTTAACAATGGTATAGCAAAAAGAATGGGTTCCATGGAAAAGTATATGCCATTTCTATTCCCTTTAAAACAGTACTTCAACTGGACAGCAGTAATTACCAGTAGTAATTTACTATTTCCTCAGGTCAGTAATTGAAATGTAAGAACTGTCTCTTTTTCCAGGTTTGTCCTCAGTCGCGAAGGCAGCTTCTGCTAGCATTATCAATCAGATAGCAGGGATTTTGCACAGAGCAAGCAATCAAGACAAAAAAAGCACGTTATTGCCAGCATCCCTCCATAAGTTCTCTTTTGTAATCTGGCAACTGAAAAATTACATGTCTTTTTCTTGAACAAGTAACTACTTGGTTCAGTACTGATGCTCTGCACTGAGCCATTGCTGTAGAAGAGATGAAGATAATGATATCTCTTAATTCTAAAAGGTTTCCTGCAATAAAATCCCCACTGTTCTGCCTTGATACGGTAGGTGTTCATATGGTTCTCCTCATATTGCAGAATCTGAGCACTTCCATAGAGAATGATAGTTCAGGCATTCTTCATGCTGTTCAGCTGTACACTATGTTGTACCTGGTAAACATGAACTATCATGACCCTCTTCTCTCATTCTAACCCATACATCATCAGCTGCATGCCTGTTAGCACCTTACTGAAGGTGCTCCCTTTACTTTTATGTGTAGCTTTTAATCCTACTACAGACATAATGCTCATGAAAGTGATCCAGTACCCTTTTTTTTTGGAGAATTACTCTCATCTCTAGTGGGATTTCTTCTTCTTCACATTTCTGTCTTGTCATATGTACAAGCTGCAAAGCTACAGCAATTGATCTACTTAAAAATATACTTTCTTTGGGAAATAAAATTAGTAGAAATGTATATTAAAATATGTTATTAAGATTACACACAACAGTAAAGAGCTTGGATTTTTTCAACATCTTCTCCAAATGCTTGGTTAGCCTCTATAATTTACTGGAGAGAGATGAAAATGGAGACTTCTTACAGATACCACTTTTCTTGTGTTGTCTGTAAAGTTACTCAAAGAACCTTCTCTGAACAAGCTCCTATCCTATCCTATATTATCCTAACCGATCCAGATGGATGTTTACCTGCCTTCACTTTATATGTGTGGGCACTGAAACAAGAAACCAATTAATTTTGTTTATTTTGCCTTTAAACTGTAAGGACTTAAAAAATAATAGTTCTACTGTATAATTTAATCAGCACAGTTAAAATTTCACATTTAAATAAAACTTTCTTGATATAAACTCTTTAAAATACAATAGATAATATTCCTAAATTTTTAAGAATAATTAGTTACTTTATACACTTTAGCATCAAAACAAACATTGAATTTTCCTCCACAATAGAGACTCTAAATCTTACACATCATCATAAATAAATTATTAAATTAGATAAAAGGATGCTGAGACTGCACCCTTCGAGTATTTTCCAAATTTCTGAAATAAATGCCTTTTTATTCCATTCTAATATGTGGTTAAAAACAGAATGATAAATTGAAAATGCAGAGATTATCGAAGTATATAAAAACAGTGTGTGAAGATTTTAAGTAAATTGAGTTAATGCTGATGAAAATGGTTGTCTTTTAAATAAAAAAATAAAAATTCCTTCTCTCATTGAAAAAGAAGAGAAAGTAAAAAAATCAGTTGCAGTTACCGTGCAAGGAGTTTGCATCCAAGGTTCCCCATCTATCTGCATAGGCAGAGACTTGCTGGTTCTAAAGGGACAAATTTCATAATGTAAGAAAAAGAAACTCAACAAAATTGATAAATGTATTTATTAAAAAGGCATATATGTGATGGGGTACAGATATAATCCTCATTTACTCCTAAAATGCTAGGTAATTTCCAGTATGACCCAATGTGCTTACAAAGGTAATGTAGTTAACTTAGTAGGTTTAGTCTGATTTTCAATACACAAAGCAAAAATATGGCAAACATTCACACATATTGTTAGTAAGATGCTACTCTTTCATGGGAGAAGAGTCTAATTTGTGAAATAAAGAGTGAATTACACAAGAACTTCAGGAATAAATCTTATTAACTGTAAAGACAGAGGAATTTCTACTATTTTTTATAATATAGACTCTTTATATATCATTCTGTATATTATAAAACTATAAAGGAAAAAAGGAATAAATTTTAGGTCTACAATCACCACTTATTAGAACTATAAAATATGTTTTTATATTGTGTCTGTCTCTGAGTTAGAACACTCACAGAGAATGAAGCTTGTACTGTATTCAGTCTATACCATGCTATAAATTTAAATTGATAGTAAAGGGGTGCTGATTTTAACATAAAGATACAGACAGTATTCTCTCTCTACTTTTGTTTAGTTTTAGTTTTCTCTCTCTGTATTTCTGCATTATAATAGTTTGCATTCAAGACTATTAGAAATAACATGGAATGGATAAACCTAATAATGGAAAAGTTAGTCAACTGAGCACTCATACTGGTCAGTGGAAATTCTGGTTTGGATGTTATATGAAAACAGTGAACAGTTCATGGATTTATCCACTGTCACTTATGGCCATAAATGGAGGGAGGGAAGAATGTTTAATGAACTCTTACTGTATAGTTCTGGAAGGGCTTGAATCTTTCACAATTGTGGTCCTGCTGATGTAGGATTACAAGAATTATCTCTTGGTATCTAGAGAAGGTTGGAATACCCCTATGACCTTATTTCTCTTCTGCATCCATATGAGAGAGTACTTTTTAAGTCAACACCACTCAGCCCTTGAGAAGAGTCTCAATAAAATGTACTTTGGAAAATCCTACTTATTTTCTTAAAGTTTTTATTGTTACTCTTCTGTTTTATGCTCATTTTAGGCTTATAATTGCAGACTTTACGGTTTTAATAAATTTTGGAAAATTCTTCCTGAAGAATTCTTCACTGAGAAAGAATTGACCACCTCTCTCTTTTCCAGTCCTTATTGTGAATGTTCTGGCCACTTTGAGCTCAGAAATGATAAACCACATTAGCATACTGCACCATCACCAGCTCACACATACCAACAGATTTAATAATACCTGATGACAACAGACGAGCACTGGGCAAGACGTCTTCCAGCACTTTTCAGACCAGTGTATATCTGTCCCATCTCCATGGCTCCTTCCAGACCAACCACTTCCATAAGCTGGTCACTCAGATCTGCAAAAAGTTGAAAAAAACACATTTTGTCTAGACAGCATTTTGACAGCAATCATCTTGACTAGTTAGAATTGTCAGAAAATAAGCTGATCATAAAAGATGTGGAGAACAGAATTGGCAAAAATGATTATTCCTAAGAAGTGATTGCAGCGTTAAGGTTGGACATAACTGGGCCTGCTGTCACACCAGCCTGAAATATCCTGACCAAAATGATTCTAAAATACAATAATTTTATCCATGGTTTATTTTAATACATAAATAATGAAAAAATACTTTAATTATATGGAAAATAGGAGAGGTTCCTTCACTTTGTTCACCTGACCCACACAGAATGACATGCTGCAGTTCAGAAATTTGTGTTGTTCATTCTTTCAACAGGTACTTAAAATCTCTAAAGAAAATGCCAGACCCTATTGAATTTTCTTATACAAATCACATTCCAGATGATTTGTACAACTCTAATTCAGCCTTTGTGTGTATGCATTATTATTATGAGACTGCTTTTTATTTTTTGCATTTGATTGTTGTCTTAATTAGTGCACAGATGCAATGCAAAAAGGGAGAAAAACACCTTCTATCAGTTACTATACACATAGCCTCCCTGAACACTGTAGTGCTTATTTGCACTCAATTATATATTTTTGTTTCACACTGCTTTTTGACTACATAGCACTTTGGCATTAAAGTTCAAAAGCTATTTAAATAAATAATATATCTGGCAAAATAAATATTCGTTTGCTTGACTTCAAGGAGCAAGGACAAATTCTGTCTAGAATTTCAGGTACAAAAAGAAACTTGAACAGTAATATAGCAGTCTGGTTTGAGAAGCAATCAAGCAAGGTAATGAAATATTATCCAGAATCAACTAGCGTGTTTTGTATGAAATGTTTTGTATGTTCCTGTGTAAATACATGTTTCCAAGACCAAATGGACAAGAAAAAGAAGTGTTTCTTTTTTTAGCTGTATAATATGTGCGTTTTATGAATCGGCTGTTAATGTTCTTGTTTCCAAAAGGTGCATTATTCCGTGAAGCACAGCAAGGAGCTAAAATGTTAGTCTATCATCACACTGAAAAAAAAATGAAGGAGAGCACATTACTCTGTATATTTTAAACCCTTCCACCTTTAATGAAGGTAGAATTGCATGCTAACAATCATATCTATGAGGTTATTCCAAAGTTTCAATGGGAGTCTTTTCCGTTCACTTCTTTGGGCTTTCAATGAAGGTAATTAACTGAAAGAAGTACTGTGATGGGGGAAAAAATATTAAAAGCAAATAGGATTCATGGTCTGGATAATTCTGCTTCCAACTAGAAAATCTGGTACTATCCAAGGCCTTAATTTTTATTCTTACACTTTCTTAATATTCTCCGCTATTTTAATTTTCTCATCATAGTTCCATATAAATTGTTGAAGAAAAAAATAAACACTATTTTTCCTACTAAGAGAAAACATTAAGATAGACAAAAGGTTAAAATATACAATATGATTAATTCTAAATATACATTTTTATACTTTGCATCCCTGTAACATACATAACCCCAATTTTGTATATCTGGCTTTCAACTGAATTATTTTTTTCTTGAAACATTTTCCTTATTTTACTCACTTTTAAACTTAACTGAGATTTAAACAAATTCTGCTTTTCTTTGTAGCCACAGGGATTTTAAATGGGAAAGTCCTACTCATTTTCAAAAGCTACTATACTATAAAAGCACACAGAACTTTATAGATGTACTAAATCATTAAAATGTTTCCAGCCAAAGAAAACATCAAATTCCTATTCACTGGGTTATTAGAAAATTATTATTTTTTAAATGGGAGAATAATTAAGAACAGATTTTTATTTCTGACAGCTCAGGCAACATGTGCAAGATTCAGAATAGTGACATTTGCAGCGATATAAATTTGATGCATCATTTTTCAATAGCTGTGAGATTAGCGCCAGTAACAGCAGGTAACTAAGGGCCAAATCCTGCTCTTTGATCTATACCACACTTCTCAAAAAATGTGGTATATTAAATATTGGAAGATGAAACTGAACAATACTCTCATCTACTAAAAAAGTGAAGGCTTTTTAAAAACTTCACATTTGCAGTGGCACATTCCCAAAGTGGAGTTATTTTAGGCTAAATATGAATATTTTTAGAATCGAGCTTAAATTAGACATAACTTTCCTTCAGAAAGCAGTAAAAGCTAAAGCAAATATAACAAGAAATTATTGACTGCATTAGTTCACACTCCTGCTCTCGCTAATATATTTGACCTCATGCTTTTCAATAATATATCCATTTCAACAAATCCTTGAGATATATTGACTTTGATAAGAACTCAGAGTGAACAAAATTGGAAAAGGGAGTATGTCTATTTTAGTCCCACTCTTCAATGATGTTACATGGCTATAGGTATAGGTACACTGGTTGAATATAAAGGGTCAAGACATCAATGAATGAATGACATTTGTTCTTAAAAGGTCTCCACCAAAGACTCTGAAAGAGACCAAGCTCTATTAAAGGAAATCTGATCTTCTGTTAAATGAAAAGATAGGAATGGGGAAGTCATTCCTCATTCTGGCGGAAGTTTATAACTGATTTCTCAGAAAGATCTGTGCTGGCCTCTGTACTGCTCAACATATACCACTAAATAACCTGGAAATAGAAATAGTGCGTTACGGAGGATTCAACAATGGAAAGACAAAAGCCAATTATAGAAAAAGTTAAGAATTTTACAGTATTGAGTAATGGAGCTATATGAAGGCAGAGAGTTCAATATATTCAACTTAATGTCCATGAGGGAAAACAGAGCTAACTATAGATATGTAGACTGTTATATACATATATATAACTTTTGGAAATAAATATGGGGTGTGTGTGTCCCTGTGTATATGTCTGTATCTGTTTATTTTGCTGAACGACAATTGATACCATCATGCAGGAATTAATACTGTGGAGTTACTGGGGCTAGTTCTATGAAAATATCAGCAGAATGCTTGATTTATGATCATCAGATATTACAGTTGGTCCATCCATAAAGTATAGAGTTTGTAGTTATAGTCCATTCAGCAATGCAGGGGAAGAGACAAAATAATTGGAAATAACAGATCAAAAAACATGGTAACAATTATGAAGCAACTTCTGTATGAAAATAAGTTAGACTAGCAGCCTTCAGGAGGTAGAGATGAATGGAGAAAAGATGAGAAAACCATAAGTGCCGTACTGTAATTCAGTATTTTGCAAAGTGCAAGAACCAAGGAGCTTCATAGCACTTCTAGACAAGCAAGAAATCCTGTTTTACGTAATACTTTGTTATGCCATCATGCCCTATTAGACTTTGACATTCCTTAAATCAAAAATGACAAATATTCAGTAGGATATCTTAAGAGAAAAATCATTGTAACTTTGCTTTCTTATTCCTTATTTCTAATACAGGTTGGTGTTAGAAGTCAGATACTAAGCTACACGAACTTGCAGGTTGATCTAGTATCATTGTTCTTGTTGACTGCTTATACATCTTATAAATTTTAAAGGAGAAAAGTGAATACTGCTGTTCACTAAACATCATTCATCACTTAAAACAGCTTATAATGTGGACTTTTCCATGACATGTATCCCTACTGTGTTTGAGACCTAATTGAGAAAGCTCCTCTTTTCAATCCTCAAATTATATTCTAAAGTTACACACTAATGTGTATCTGTGTCTCTAACAACTATAAAGCAAAAAACATATCTCTTTTTAGGGATGTTGCATTTCTTCTGCATCCTACAAGTCTCATTCTCAAGGGAAATAATTCGTGATTGTGTTGATGAAATTCTCCAATTCATGCTTCACCTATTATAACTAGTTTAGATGGTTTGGGTTTAGGAAACTGAAGGTTAGACTTTTCAAGAAGAATTTAGCACCTAACAGTGAACAAAAGCAACTACCAGATACTGAGCAGTTTTTCATTCTAGCCAAGTCATTTAGTTGCCTAAATGAGAGCTGAAGTCTGATAGGTAAGCTATCACTGAGAGCATCTCGGTATTAGTCCATTAGGAAAGTGTTTTTTTGACTGGTGCCTTGGGGTTCCTCAGTCTGTTTGTTCTACTTTGAGCTCTGTGAAAGAGCTGAAGGCTCTCGCTTGTTTTCTATGTGAATGAGCCATTAGAGTGTGTGGGAATGTTTTCATAGCACCATGCCTCTCCTGCCCTTTTCCACAAACCAAAGTACTTCACGTGTCTCCTCATATTAGCCCTGTCAGTAAACAAAGCCAGCTCTCCCAGGGGAGCACTGCTGTCAGCAGACGGTGACTAGCATGCAGAGGGGCATCTGACCCCTTGCACTCATTCCTGATGGGGAGATAAAGTCACTAGGGAGCTGACTGCCCATTTCTTCCCATCAGGCATCAGGAGAAAGAGAAGTTCACACAGAAACTTGCACAAGTGGCAGACAAAACACTGTATGTGAATATAAGCCTTGTATAGCCCTTCCCTGAGGCATGAAGAAACACACTTGGAGACTAAAGTTTCGTAATGAGGAGTTTACATTATCCATTAGCTTGGCATTAGCTGAATGCTTCAATATTCAAAGTGAACACACAGGAGAAAAACGCATTTGGAATTCATCTATGAAGATAAAGCAAGGAAAGTAAAATGGGTTAGGGGGTGGGAAGAAACATGGCGTGATTAGAAATAACTGATTTACATAGAGAACTTTCGCTGTAATGGAACTGGTTTTGATATCCAATTTATCTTCGCAATATATAAATATTGCTGTCCTGGCAAGAGATTGAATGACTCTATTATAACTTGGGGTTACTGCACTCACTCAGGCACATTTGCATAAAAACACTGTTGGTCAGTGGTAAATCTGTCTCTGGCAGCAGTTTGTCTTCAAAGAGAAGGGGCTCCATATCTTACTAACTGTAATCAAACCCTAGTAACCATCATGCTGGAAATTTTTTGGTTCAAGTTAAAATACTGGACAAGAATTTGAAAGCTGGTATGATGCCAGAGGATCCTTGAA